GGGATCTAGGCCAAGACTAAGCCCCGGTACCAGATAGTTTCCCAATTGTTGTGTTCAAACAATTTTTGGAAGTATTCTGCCCTGATCTTATAGCTTTCTTCTGTGAATTTCACGAGAGGGTTATTATCCGCAAAGCAATGAGTGCTACATTCATTGCGCTCATTTCCAAAATTGAAAGAGTTGAGAAAATCAAGGACTTTAGGCCCATCAGTTTCATCAACAACTCCTACAAGATTCTATCCAAAGTGCTGGCCTCGAGGATAAAGGATGTGATGGGTTTTGTCATCTCACAGAACCAATGTACCTATGTTTTTAGAAAGACATTCTTGACAGGTCTCTCATAGCGTATGAATATATCCATTCATGACACATGGCAATGAGGCGGGGACTCATTGCCAAGTTGGACGGGGAGAAAGTGTATGACCATATAGATTTGGATTAGGAGGTGCTGGAGGAAACACTAAAAAAAATGGGTTTCGGCCAAAAATGGAGGAGTTGGATGGGGAACTGCATTTCCAATGCGTATTTATCAATATCAATCAACAGGTCTCCCAAAGGCTTCTTCCCTTTTTCTAAAGGCCTCCGGTAAGGAGACCCCCTTTCTCCCTTCCTTTCATCATAGCAGCCGAAGTTTTCAGCCAATCTTTGATAAGGATGTACAACCATGGTCTTTTGGAAGGCTTCAAAGTTGGTCTTAGGCGCCCTATCATCTCCCATCTTCAATATGGTGATGACACCCTCGTCTCCTACGACACCTCTGAGCATCAAGTTTGCTCCCTATTCCTCTTCCTTAAAGCCTTCCAAATAGCCACGTGATTCAAAGTGAACCTGAACAAAACGAAAATGATGGGTGTGGCCCTCGACCCCCATCTCACTGCCCAGTTTGCTCACTCATGGGGATGTGGAGCAATTGTTTTGCCGACTTCATAACTTGGTTTACCCCTCTATCTAGGGAAACCTAAAAAGAATCTCTAGGGTCACATTATAGACAAGTTTGACTGTAAATTTGCAGGATAGAAGGGCCACTACCTATCCTATGTCGGGAGAGACTCTCTCATTAAGGCTACTCTATACAATGTCCCAATTTATCAAATGTCATCGTTTCACATCCCGGTCTCTATTGCAGCCCACCTACAGCAGCTTATGAGGTATTTATTGTGTTCCTGAGTGGTACAACCAACAAAAATTTCACCAAGGCTCTTGGGACAAGTTGTGTAGACCGAAAGCTTTAGGTGGCTTGGGCATCTGAAACCTGAGAAACAAATTCTGCCCTTCTACCGAAATTGTGGTGGAGACTTTTCTCACAAGAGGAACACCTATGGCAAGAGATTCTCCATAGAAAATACCGAATCCACCCTACCAGCTGGATGCCCTCAGGCCAGGCCAATAGCCTCTCCTCTGGCTTCTGGCGCTCTATTATGTGCTGCTATGACATTTTCAAATCTAATTCTCGCATTCTCCCAAGAAGTGGCAGCCACACTTTTTTAGAATGACACATGAGTTTGTCATACCCCATTGAGAGACGCCTTTCTCGACCTTTTTTTGCTTACTGTAGACAGATGCTTCCATCCTTGACCAATTCCCCTTAATGATTTCTAGTCACTCCTGGTCTCCCTCCTTTAGACAGAACCTTCGAGACCAAGAAGTGGAGCTTTCCTCCAACTCCAAGCCTTATTGCAACCCATTTATCTCCCACTCTCACGCATAGACAGACTTATTTGGTCCCCCAATTCTCATGGTCCTTTCATACATTCTTCATGTTATTCGAGTGCAGCATCCTCTCACAACCCTCCTCGGGCATTCCCATCTTCGGTCAAAGCCTGGTTATCCTTCATTCCTCCTAAGCTTCAAATCTTTAATTGGCTCTCTATCCACCAAAGGGTGCTTATTGTGGATCAAATTCAAAAGCGTTTTCAACCGATGCTCCATGTGCCATAATGCTGAAGAAACCAATGCACAATTGTTCCTCCACTGCCCGGTAGGCAAGTTCCTTTGAAGGTTCTTCAACTCTTTGATTGGGTTTGGGTCACCCCTCAGTATGTCCCTGACCTTTTTAACCCTTCACAATCCCTCCCATGGCCCAAGGCAGGAGCCGTACAATGGAAAGCCACAGTCTCTACCATTTTGTGGTCCATTTGGATCAAAAGAAACCATAGAATTTTCAAGGTGCCAGTAACTCAAACAGTTAACATCAAGGAGAAAGTGTTAACCTCGGTCATTTTTTTAACCAAGAACCTCAAGAGATTGGGGCTAGCTCCTCTTTAGAGTTTTACCTCAATTGGATCCATTGTGTCACCTTTCCACCCCGAGGGTGGCTAGGGCCCCCCCATTATGGAGGTCCCCTCATCAAGGATAGATCAAATTGAACTTCGATGGATGTTTCTTAGATAACCCAGGATCTGCCGAGTCAGAGGCCTGTTCAGAGACCATTCCGGTCATATTATTTGCTCCCTCTCCAAACACATTGGTACCAATGATAGCGCATGTTGCATTACTTGAATGTATGAAGGAGTATAGACCACAGTAAGGCAATTGGATTGCAATAGAAGGAGACTTCAAGCCTATCATCACTTGAGCCTCCAGTTCTATCGATCCCCCTTGGAGACTTGCCCACATCTTTGACGTCAGCACAATTGAAGTTTCATGGACTCATATTTGGCGAGAAGCAAATTCATTGGTTGATACCCTTGCAAAAGAGCAGCAGCTGCGCCATAGATTGGCACTTAAAACATTTCTTGTACATAGTTACAATCTCGAATTCTCAAATCGAGTGTACACAGAATGTTGCACATATTTTTGTATCTTATTTTCTCTCTAGTTGACACCCGACCCTGGAAACAGAGCCCCCCCTTTTTTGTATACTTACTCTTAATACAAGTTATATTCTCTAAAAAAACAAACCATTATAAAATAAAATTTTATTTTTATTTTAACTTCTAAACCCAAGTACAGGTTCAAATGACTTGGACCCAACCTGGGTTCAGGTCCGGGTCCGGGTTCGGGTTCAGGTCTGGGTGAAACCTAGTCGACCAACCCCGACCCAAACCCATTGCAACCCTTACTGATACCTCTCAACAATTCTACTTTCAAGTCAAGACCACATGCCATGCGGGCTAAAGCTTGGCTTGAAACAAAGCAAAGTCCACCTAGTGGTTCAAGGACCCTTCCAACTCAGCCTGAACCCCTAAGCAAGTTCATTCCAAATATGGCTATCAAGAGGCCAGTCTGTCCTGTGCCCTTTCTGGGTTCGGTCCAGTTTTGGGCTGCTTCAGGCTCCAAAGCAATGCCTGCATGTCAAACCTAGACCCAAGTACTCTCACTAATGGAGAATGTGCTACATGCCATGGTGGCTCTAAAACTTCTCCCCGACCAATCTTGAGACCGTTGCAGATCACTTTTGATTATCTTCATCATCATCAACATTAGAGCTTTTTCCTAACTATTTAGGGTCGTTAACAGCACTTTTAATCCTGAAACTCTTGGAACTCTTTATTTTGTCTTCATTTCTACTGAGCAATCAATTCCTCCCATTTTCTCAAATCTAGGATTTTATCACACTACTTGTGATGATTGTGCCCTGATTTTATCAATTCCTCCCATTTTCTCAAATCTAGGATTTCATCACACTTCTTGCAATGATTGTGCCCTGATTTTCTCAGTTCTTCAGTACAACTCTACTGTTTCCTTCTAGATTGCTTTCCTCTTCATTCTTCTGCAACTTCTAATATCCACTAGCACAGCTCTCATAGGTTTCCTTATTGATTGCTTTCCTCTTCATTCTTATGCAGCTTCTCATATCCACTAGCGGAGCTCTCATTGGTTTCCTTATTGATTGCTTTCCTCTTCATTCTTCTGCAGCTTCTCATATCGACTAGCAGAGCTGTCATAGAGGTAATAGGGCCTGAAATAGAGGTAAAATGGAAGAAAAGCCACTAGCAGAGCACTCACGGAGAATTAGAGGTAAAATGGAAGGAAGCTATGAGTTCAGTTCGAAAGGCTGGCTTGAAGCTGGAGCAGAAAACAATAGGTAAATTTCTTGGGTTTGTGGGCAGTTGACATTAGGGATTTTGGAATCATAGTTTCAGGCAACAGACAAGAATGGGAACAAATACAAAGAATAGAGAGAGAGAGAAAGAGAGGCAATATTTAGGATGGAGAGAGATGCATCCAGGCCAGGCTCAAGCCCTCAACATAGGCATTCGCGGTGGGCCCAGGCCTAACATTTAAAAGAAAATTCAGGCCCAGGCCTATCTGCATAAGTTCAGGACAAACTTGACCCGGACATGCCTATTCGCAGCCCTATGCTACCAATAGGCCAAATACAGGCTGCACCAAGCTTGGCTCGAGCCTGGCCCTAGCCTGGACTTTATAGCCAAGCCAGGTCTCAGCCTGGTCCGTGGAGCCAATAGGCTACGTGAGCAGGCCCAGACACCCGCAGACTGGTGTGGTTCATTGACAATCCCACCTTTTGACAGGTAGGAGGAGACTGTGCTATTAAGTACCAACAATATAATTAGAAAATTTCGTCCATGAACACTTATCCGCCCAAATCTAGCATTTGCATATCTCTTTTTTTTTGAAGCTATCTAGCATCTGCATACCACTTATAACAAGTTAGTCGCATGTCAGGAGAGGAGGCCCGGCTGAATTGGTTAGCGCTTGGCAAATTTCAAAGCTATGACTTAGGCTCAATTCCTACTAAGGGAAAGGGCCCTCTCCCCACTGACTCGCCCGCAAAAAAAAAAAAGAAGTTAGTTGCATGTCATTTGCAAAATTGTAAATTGATATTATGAAGTTCCTGCTGAACATTCGAATGCAGAGGGCTCTGAAATGCGAGTCCTGCTGAACATTCGAATGCAGAGGGCTCTGAAATGCGAGTCCTGCTGAACATTCGAATGCAGAGGGCTCTGAAATGCGAGTCCTGCTGAACATTCGAATGCAGAGGGCTCTGAAATGCATAATAAATCACGTTCTAGGACGTACGAAATGGTCGGTATAGATACATAGCAAAAGCATATTCCTTTTTTTGTTTTATTGGTAGCAAAACAAACATCCTTGTGCTTACCAATCGAAATAGAAAGAAAAAGGTGAGAAGATTATCCTGAAGCTTATTTAGCATGAGAGAAAAACGAACTCGAATGCAGATGAGATTGGATCTTGTTTAGTAGAATTTTGTCTATCAATACATGAAAAAATAAGGCTCTCACAATTTCAGGCATCAAAAGAACCTCGTGCTGAAAATGTATCTCTTTCACAAGGCATCTTTCACAATTTCAGGCATCAAGAACAGCCCGTACTCCATTTATGGAAATGGTTTAGTTCGTGAGCTTTCTCAATATTGATTCTGCACGCTGTTCTATTCTTGGCAAGGCCCAGTCATGCTGAATTATGTCAAGACTATCCTTTTCTGCACTCAAGCTCTGAAACAAAATCCCCCCCCCAAAAAAAACAAAAAATTCAGATCTTCAGAAGTCTCAAGGATGTGGATGTTCAGGAAAGTAACTGTTAGTTTCATTATTTCCTCTGTTGTTCAAAGAAAGCTCATTGACTAAGCAGCTAACAGGAAGGTTTCAAACAGATATTTTTGTACCCAATTGAATTTACAAAGGAACATGCAAACAAAAATCATGTATTTATACACCTAATGGAGAGTCAAGGCATGTTAGCACCTTTGTGGCACAACAGGATACCCCAACAACTAGATAGAGTTACGTCCTTTTTGAATAAAAGATAATAATAATATATTAAATAAAAAAAATTCCTGAAATCCTGATGTCCATCATATTTGGTTAGTGTTTTCAGCTTAAGCAGTCCACTGCATTTAGTTTAGAAGCATCTTTGTCTTCTATGATTGGTTTCCGATATGGACAACATAGTCCTTTGAATATGTAGTCTTTTGCACTTGTTTCACAGGGTCCTTGTGGAATATTTAGTCATCCTCCACATTGTCCCTAGGGTAAAATTTCTACTACTTACTAGACGTTTGGCCATCATGTAGAAAAAATCAGAGTATTCTCTTGTTCCATAATTCCTAAATACTCACATAGCATTAGAGCTACTCAACGGAATCTAGGGTTAAGCATTTCCAATTCTTCAATTGCAACTACGTAACCTTGAACTCCGAATAGATTGTAGAGCTGACAAACCATACAGTTGAACAGCCTCTAATTTCTTGAAGCTTCAAGAAAGGCTGAGAAAACTTCGAGAAGACAGGAACTCTATGCTTGTAAAGGTGATACTGCATTGAGTAGGAGGTGCAAGTTAGCGGTCTATACTTAAGCAACTAACACCTGAAACCTGTGTCTTGGATTAAGTTTCTTGCTCGTATCTTAAGATCCTTTCGGTGGTTCAGCTGTGATAGACAATTTGCAACAAATCTCCTCCATAAGGGGATCTCCCAACATGAGTGGCGATCCTGCTCCAGAAACATGCTCCCAAAGAGGGAAAGCCCTTGAGCTGCAATCCCATTGAGGAGCGTGATCTCCAGCCAATAAGAGTATACTATGAGACCATATATTGTTTTGGGATTGTATATTATGAGACCATATGTTATGGGTACAAGGAGGTTACGATCATTTTTAGCCATTGAATGTGAAATCCAATAGATTGAAGTGTGTCACAACATTTGAGAAATTTTATTGCAAACTTTGTGTTCAATCAATGACACATCCTCAACCACCTGATTTCACATCCAACGGTCATTAAAGATTGTGACCTCCGTGTATTTAAAGTAAATGGTGTCATTGTATATGTTTCCTATTGTTTTTAAGGAGATGAAGCAATAAATGTATATCAATTAAAAGAAAGAAATAAATGCATATCCATAAAAATAAAAATGAAAGCTATGCTTGTATATCAATTAAAAAAGAAAGCAATGATTATTCAGGTCCATGCTCCATAAATTGTCCAAAGGAAGAGAAATTCTTAAATCTGCATCAATCATAAAGGGAGTTTTAAATGCAATACTCCTAAATCCCATTTAGTGTAGGACATGGTGGGTCCAACATTTTTTCAAATGATTATAGAATTTTGACCCATCATCTTTTTAAGATACGTATAGGATTCTCTCTCTCTCTCTCTAGATTTCTATATTTATTTGCTTGATTTCCCTCATGCTTTAGTTCTTTCAATCAATTGAAATGAGGAGGCACATGTGAAGAAAAGGGCAGGACTTCTATACGATTTGACCAAAATAATATCCTTTATTGTCAGTCACAGTGCAATATCAAATAAATAGTATATTATTGTAAACGGCTTATGTATGAGAAGATTGAAGTAAATAAATGAGTAATAATTCACATTTTTTAGTAAATTCATTGTAAGTTCAATTAAAGAATTGCTAATATTAATTGTGCATCTAATATTAAAAGAACTGTGATTAATATTTTGATTTTTAAAATTTCTCTAGTTTTATATATTTATTATACGGGTGCGCTCATGGTGGTCCTGGACTAAGGAAATCCGAAGCAAGCAATCAGGACTCTTGAACCAGCTCCCACCACCAACAACTATGGGTCAATGTACTAGAGCAATTAACACATTTGTCTTGAACTAATTTTCTCGCAAGGTTCTTAGATTCTTCAGTTGTTCAGTCACAATAGATACAATTTGCAAAAAATCTCGTTCATAGGTCAAAGTCATTTTGAGTTGACCACGACATAACAAAGGCTAAATCTCAAAAATAATAGTGAGAAAAGAAATGTCAATTCTCATGAGAATGGACTTTCCCAACAATCTTCCCCTCCGAACACACGAGGAATCACCATTAGTGAATCTGCCCAAATTAGTTTCTACTCAAGTAATCCATCCCAGCCAAGTTCTTACAGAGCTTATTCCTGGTCATCATAAAGGCCTTCTTATTATACCCAACTACAATAAGGTTTTTCTTGCGCCACATCTCGACATCTACACAAATCCCTCTATCTTAGGAGCAGAATTTCTAAATCATAAAACACATTTTGGAACAAACTTTGACATAACCACATATCAAATAAAAAAATAAGCCAACATTCTTTGCCTGGACTCACAAGAAACATGCTATACCTCCCTTAAGTGAAATATCACCATTCATAAACACCCATGCATACATTCATATCTTTCTAATATCCCAGGAGCATAATTTCAATATTCTTCCCCTCCTCACTCGAAAGGCTATTGGCACTCAATTTAAATTGATCTACATGTGGCCTACTACCTAGTTTATCTTCCACCGATATCCCTTTGTCTTCATTCTTCAACTATTCATAGTCAAGTTCTTTATTGACTTTTGGCACACGTACCAATTTATGACTGCGGTCCTTGCGCAAGCAACTCATTTCTTCCTACTCATATCTATTAACGAGCAGTTCTTGAAAGTCTTTTCGTTCACCTCTGATTCTTTAGAGATATCACTTCTTCGCCAGATTTCTCCATTCCTTCTCATGAGGGCAAGCTGCATTCCTCTACAGTTGAGTTCATCTCATCTTTGGGAAGTTGTTCCTTTGAAGGATAGAGTACTACACACTAGACCCCAAGGCATTGTAAATGCCCCTTTTTCAAGTGTTTTGTTTTCCTATCAAGATGATATTGTTTCACAGGTCATTTATCATTCATTTTTGCACAAGGACTAAGCAATGGAAGGAAAGTACTATCAGTCATAGAAAAGAGTAAAGGGAGACCAGCTTGAACGCTTCAGACGTTGATGATTTGAATACCACTACTAACCACCCCAATACCTCCCCTCCCACCATCCAATACCCCGACACTATCTAGTTATTTCCATTCAGACACATCATTCTACATGTGGTAGGTTCTGGTCTTAACATACAAAAAGCATTAAAAATTATCTGAGGCTAGCTCTATTATCAGTTGCTAGAACACTTAATATGCTCTGATACCAGTATAGCAGGGAAGCAATATCCTCCCTTCTATGTGCATGAATGAAATCCAATCATTTCTATCATGTAAAAATAAGAAAAATTAATTATTTTTCTCAGTTTTAATTTCTTATCTCTTGAAGTTAGGTTTCTCAGTTTGTCATGTTCTTTTTTATTTATTTTTTTTCATATTCTTTTTTTTTTTTGGCAGTCCAACCAATCAAATATGGATCACCGAAACTTTCTCTAATTTGATAGTTAATCCATTGCTAAAATAAAGGAATAATGATCTCAACTTTAGTTGTTGATATTGTTTGTATACTGAGGAAACTAGAGGTGGCGAATGGATTTGCTAACTTGGTTCTTATTGGGGACAGGTTGGGTTTCTAATTTCCAAGTCCCATCAGTGTCATAGAGTTTCATATTTTGTAATAGAGCAATGGTTTTAAATTAACTTGTATTACATATAATATTAAGGGCCTGTTGGATGACAATTAACTTTATCTGGAATAGCCAATCTCAAATAAAATTAATATATTCTGGATAATATTATTTTGTTAGCCGCTTACATACAGTATTATTTAACATTTTCAGTGATTTCCAGCTATTTTTAGCTATTTGTCGCTTAAAATAAGAGATTTCCGCAAATTACTTTGAATAAAGTAAACAACTCTTAAAAAAAGATAAATTTATATGAAAAACTGCCTATAAGTGTATCTCAGATAACTTTTATGACGGACACTGCTAAACAACAATTAGGATTAATTTTAATTTTATTTATAAACTGTCTAATTGACAAATAGAATTGACTCATTTGAGTATTTCAACTAAGTTATGAGTTTTTCTTCACTGGGAATAGGACATGCCATTATATCAGTGACATTTGACTACATAACACACATGCCAAGCATGCACTATTGTGCATGTATAAGCATTACTCTATATGGACTGCCTTCTCAAGCTTAGCAAAAAATAATGTGATTTTTTATGTACAATCCTTCAATGAAAATAGGTTCCTTTTCCAATGCAATATGAACCAATTCAAATAAGAGAGTGTTTTCTCTAATCAGAAAAACAAAAGGAAGATGAACTAGTTAGCAGACAATTAACTATAAAAAATGACTTAAATGGCAAAGTACATCTAAACAATCAAGCATATAATATAGTTCAAAGAAACAGAAGAGCAAGTAATTAAAAATATGCAACAATAGAACCTATACATTCAAGCATTTTGTTACCCCATATCGACCACATTTTTGCCTTTGTATACGTGACAAATCTTAATACTGCCGTCTCAAAGAAAAATCCTCAGGCAGTTTTCCCTAAAGTGAAAAGCAGGTGTTTGACTTTTCCTAGGTAGCCAACTCCAACCAAAAAAGTAGCTCACAATGAGCAAGAAATTCATATGAGATCATATGTGAAGTATAAGATACCTTTGTTGGATCAAAGCCAAAGCCACCCATTTGCATCATCCGTTGCGTGTCGTCCAAGGCTGACACACATAATATGTCTCAGTGACGCTAAGTAAGTGTCCATAAACTAAGTAGAGTAGCAATACTGCAAAGTAAATGCCAAACAAAACAAACTATAGCCGCAAAACAAAGAACTGAAGAGAATCACTAACCATTTTCTTCTCCCAAAATGAGGCTGAAGAGACCCCTCAAGCCAAAAAGATTTAGGAAGTACCTGAAAAGAATATTTGAAGATAACATATGTTACAAAGCGAACATAGAGGGGAAAACAACATTTTAATATAATATTGTAATTATATACCATGAACGGCTGCTGACATAGCTGACATCAACCGTGCTCAAGTCAATTCCATTTTGCAACATGGATCTGAACCTCTGCGTAAGTGGAAAAGGGATCTTGGCTGGAGAGAGGAACATTATGTCAATAATAACAATATGATATCTGCATAATAATGTAATATCAAAGTGAAATCGGACAACTATGTTACAGGACAGATTTCCTACATGAATAAGGAACTCCGAGAAACACCTAGAAAGGACTGAATCCAAGTTGACAAATTTTAGAAACATAAAACATAGGAGCATGCACATTTCTACTTAGAAAATTCAAGAGATTCGAACATCATTGATGATGAAACATTCACGCTTCATGTGTCCAGTTAATGCTATTAATTCCATAGGGTGGTGTTCAAATTCCGAATAACTTGTTCGTGAACTATCCACATTTTGTCAAGAAAACATCCAAAAATAAAGAAAACATGCTAGTAGAGAATCACACAAGGACATATTAAAGAAAACTAAACTTCATCTGAAACATACAATGCAAATATATAATGTGCCAGTATGACCTTTATTTTTATGGGTACGTGCTAGTATAAAAATTAACACTCAAACTGCATATAAGAAAGTATTTAATTTATTATAATGTTAGGAGATACAGTTATGTCATTCAGGATTGTAGCCTAGTTTTCATGAACTAGGGGAACCGCCTCTGAAAAAAGATGCAACATCCTCATCATCATAGTTTTTTTCCAATTAATTGGGATTGGCTACACGAATCCTAGTCTGTCATTCTACTATATTAAGGCCCATGCCCTCAGTGAAGCCATAAGTCCCCAAATCTTTTCTCACTACTTCCAACCATGTCCTTTTGGACCTACCCCTTGCCCTTTTTGAGTCTTCCACTTGAACTAACTTGTACATCCTAACAGGTGTTGTACTGAGTCTGCACCACACATGACCAACCCACTTAAGTCTACTCTCTCTCATAAGCATAAGCATGATTTTCTAAAAGAAGCATAAGCATGATGTTCTCCAATTGTATAAAGAAGGCTTGGCCTAATTGAACAAGAAACTGCAGTAAGCAAGTAGGTTTGACCTGGTTTTCAGAGGGAAGGCAAATGGCATGGACTAAACCCTAATAAATATGTAGTAGAGTATCATAACAGTACAATATTTTAATATCCTCGTGCTACTGGTATTACCATGAACTAATCTGCTTGATTTCATAGTTGATTTCTTTTTATATGAGAGCATAAAATTTTTAATTAGGTAAAATATTACAATCTATCACATTTAAGCCACTCTTTCTATCTGTTCATAAACTTGCAAAGAGATACAAAAATAGAGACAGGTTAGAGCAAAAGAAATTGAATCATCCTGTCTTACAAAATAAAAAAACAGATTCACGAAATAATTGTACAAAAGTTCAAGTCGAGCATCACTATGTCAAAGGTATTGTCATCAATAAAAAGTAGAGCACGTATCAAATACATTTTTACACAGCCCTTCTTTACATGGTCCAACTTTGATTGCTAGGCACCACTACTTTGACAATTTGACTGATTGACATGAGTTGCAATTGATACTGAAAAAATTATAAAGCAACCACATGACAAAGGCCAATGTACGATCAACAAAATCTTCACACGTGCCACTTCTACGTACATTTAAAGAAATGAGAAATGTAAAATAAAGAAGAAAAGAATCTAAACAGATTGGGTTGAAAAAACTCATATAAAAGATTCCAGATCAAGTCGCAATCACTGAATTATATAAAATATATGTGCTTCCGAAAATGTAGATGAGGTTGAGAACTGCACCTGCAACAAATCCTGAGAAGAAGAAGTTCACCCACGCGAAGGTCAGAGTCTGAACAAAGATAACAGCAAAACATTAACTCATCGAGTGCAGATAAGAGGAAAAAGAAAATCTATTAATCGTACTGAAGAAAGTTACAATGCCAGACCTGAGGTATGATCATTGAAAGGTTCTTTTTCATCATATCAGTAGCCATGTTTGGATCAGTAAGCATTTGGGCTTGTGGGTTTTGCGCCTGTCCTTTTGGAACATAAAGCAATCCATTTTCCTACCATGGTTTTAAACGCATATCATATAATCCTTTCAGTAAAATATGTTTAAGCAATTGTAAAAGATCCTAAAAAGTTGACCCCCTGTCTGCTCTTCCAATAAGATAAACAGTGACTTATTATCAACAAAGAAATGACATATTTTTTTAACAAAATAGAATTCCCCAATCAATTCTAAGATTTCTAATGCATTTTTCATGAAGGTGGAAAATTCTAACTTCCACAACCATTTTAATATGCAAAACAGGAAATATAAAAAGATATAATCTCAAAGTTATATTTAGTGTTTTAAACCATGGACTTGGTTCTGGACTCGCTAGGGTCCCAAACCCGAATCGGAAACTACAGAGACTTGGCTGAGTCTTAAAAGAGTTAACAAAACACACATTCAGAACCAGCCGGTTCCCAAGGATTTTCTTCCTGACACAGCAAGCTGCCTAGTCTGACTAATTTTGCTGGGTGCAAGTCAGACTTGGAGACTTCTAAATCACTGCCAGAATCACATTAAACCAAATACAACATTTCAAATCCATAGAAGCCATAGCTTTTCAAAACCGAAGTTATGAATCTATGCATTATTTCACTTCTGTCACACCGATAATCAAATTATATCCGTTCTTAGCTAACTTGAATGAATAGCAGCTGAATAATAATGAATGAAGGATGCGATGAAGGACAGCCAACAAGATAAAACAAAGGAGCAAATATAGAATAAACAGTTTATGCAAATAAATCAATATGCATTTTCCGAAGGTAGGGATTGCACATCCCCCACCCCGCCAAAAAAAAAACCATGACAGCAGAAAAGAAAAAAGAAAAATAATAAATTTATATAGAAAAGGTGTAGCTACTGTTGCTTGCTTTCTCACACATCCTTCAAGGCCCAAGGAAAAATAATCCCAACTTTCCAAATAAAGCTCCTATTTCCCTCTACTTTTTATTTTCATTTTTATTGGATATATTTCTACTAAGTCTTCCCACCAGAAAGACTTCCTTTTGATTTGCCATAACAAACAAAAAGTTTTTCAAAATCCTTAAGTGTTTGAAACTTGGAAATTAATGTTTTGAATTGCAATTCTCAATCTTTGGGGTATTGATGAGGACACTGGAGGGGACAGTCAGCATTATAGATCCCCTCAAAGTAGATTCCGACAATTGGCGCATCTATCATTCGCCTTTGTTTCTGTAGGTTTCCTTGGTATCCTACCATTTTTGTTTTCCTCGTATTAGTTTGTATATCTTGATAAGTATCTGTTTGTCTAATATCTATCAGTTACTAGTTTAAGTATCATAATTTTATGAGCAAACATCGTGCAAATTCATGATGCCAAAAAGCAAGTTCTTACATAAAACTACTAATACTAAAAAAATTCTTCCAAAACTGAAGGATCCAGTGTCCAGTAACAAGAACGATACATTATTTTTATAATACTCTGATACTTAATTATATTATCAATATTTCATGGTTTTCCTGAGTCATCAGGCTTCAAAGACTTCGTGATTATCCTTTGTAAGTAGATCTTTTCCCCCCTAACATTTATTAATTTAGATTTTCCAAATGTGCCAAGAGAACGATGCTATGATTTTTTGTCTTCATTATCACTATGATGCTACAATTTCAACTCATTATGCTACCATGCAACTCACTGATGCTTTGATTCAAGTCACCCAAGTTCCAAGCCAATTCAATTAACTTGCTGGAGATTGAATGAAATTCCCCCAGTAAGAGAACATGAGTCTAGCCATTGTTAGAATGAAAAATTAAAGAATTAAACCCAGAGATTTCAACTAAAACTTCATGGAACTCATGTAGTAAGAGTCCAAAATTTATATGATAAATAGTCCATGGAAATTTCATGTACAGAGTTGATGTGAACCAAAGCAATGGAGAAACATACAATTTTCCATTAAATTTTGCCCTCCTCAGACTGGTGAGCTAACTCTCTCTCTCTTAAATTCTCCAGAAAATTTGTAGAATTATATTGGTATTTATTTCAATTAGACATACTTCAGAAGGGGAGAAGAACGAGAAACCAAACCTCATTGCTAAAGTAAACACGACGGGACCGGAAAGACTTTGCAGGGATGAGATTTGCACATGTTCGCAAATTCCTTGCTCTCATCACAACCTGACTGGAAAAAAACCAACAAAAATTCAGTTAAAAAAGGAGAAAATAAGAATGAAAAATCCAGCCAAAAAAACACAAAAAGCAAAGAGGGAAATCATAAATCCTGCTAGGAATAGGGATATGCAGATCAACACAAGAAAAGGAGAATACAGACGTTACTAGGGTTTGATCCTAGAAAGACAGAAAGGTTATGGAGTTCGCGTGTGATTACTTTTCTTTGAGGATCTTGATATCAGGCGGCTGGGACGAACGCATGAGCTTCGTCACAAAGTGGCGTAGGATACCGATGAGCACCATCACAAGAGAGAGAGGGATCAGAACCCAGTCCCTTATTGCACTGTCCAATACCAGATCCTCTGCCATCTCTTCTCTCTCTCTTTCTCTCTGGTTCCCTTAGTTTCTCTCTCTAAGCTTATTCGCTCTCTCTCTCTCTCTCTCTCTCGCTCTCTCCAGTCTCCACCCAGTCGCTGAAAGTGGGTTTTATCGAGAGAAGAGGAACCCGGTTTCTATGTGGCCAACCCCGGATACGTAGAAATACGGGTGTATTAATAAATCGATGTTTTTTACTTAATTTTCATATAATATTTAATATAGAGATCATGAATATGAAAAAAATAAGTAAATTTTTAAAAATTAAAAATAATAATTTCAGTAAAAAAACATTTAGACCACTAGTTTTCGTTGTTTTTACATGGAACACCTACTTGCATCCATCTTTAAGATGGATGCTTTACACTTTCTGAGGTGCATATGTAGAAATGCGGTCCAGTCCGCATGAAACAATTGCCCTTTCCTAAAAAGTAAATAACAATTGTTTCATGTTTACTTGACCGTATTTTTATAAGAGAAATGATCTTATAGGATTCTCCCCTACCCATGTGTGTAGAACCTCAAAAGATCACCATTAAATTTGGGACGGATTTCTAAAAAAGTCAAGTCTCACACCCATATGATAATTTTTCTATAGATCCGTGTCAATTTTAATGATGATCTTTTGGAGTGCTACACACATGGGTGGGGGAGGGTCTTATAGGATCATTACTCTTTTCATAATATACAGTCTAGGTATAAAAACATTTTTCTTTAAGATCGATGCAATTAGGTGGTCCATCCAAAAACAATTGTAATTAACGGTCCAAATGATTTCTTAATAATTTTAGTTTTCAAAATTTATTTATTTTTTCATATTTATGATCTCCATGTTAAAGATTATATATCCTCTAAAAATTAGGATCAAATTATATTTAAAAAATATATTTATTATCAAGCCCGCATATCTATATATGCGGGCTCAGCCGCATGCCTACCACGTCTAAAAGAAAATGGTTTGATAGGACAGTTCTATTAAAATACGTACAACCTCACCTCATTAGTCATCAAAAATTACAATTCAAGCATTAGAAAACATTTGCATCAATCATCTTGGCTTTGAAAAATGTGTATATTAACAAATTATCCTTTTTTTTTTACAACAGTAACGAATATTATTAGAAGTAAAAGAGATTACAACAAAAATTACAACAACAAAGAAGATAAAGATAAAGAGGCCATCGATATTCCTTTTTTGGCTAAATCTTAGGCAATAGAGTTTGCTTCCTTATAAACATGATGAAAGACAATGTAATACCAGAAGAATAACTCAATCAATTTGTACAATAAGATTAAAAGCTGCCAACGAAGTCTTGACAAACTTTTGCACCAATTAATGACATTGTGAGAGTCTGTTTCAATGATCATATTTTGCTCCATACCTCTCTCCCTAGAGGTTCGCAATCCTTGTAGCAAAGATTCAAATTCCACATGATTAGCAGTAACCACCCCTCAAGGCCCAGCATAACAAAAAGTTATCTGACCTTCGTGATTGTGACATCCCCCAACTCCTGAAGGCTCAGGATTTCTTAAAGAAGAACCATCAAACTTTAATTTCATGCATCCCATGGCTGATGGGTTCCAATTACACGGTCATCTCATTTGAAGAGTTATTTGCATGACCAAATTGGTGCAATTAGTTCAACATTGTTCCTTGAAATCCCGCAACCCTCCTTTGTAATGCTAAACCAATTCTACGTAGAAAAATTAATTTTGCTTTGGAATTCAGCCAACCCTATAGCCATACCATCAAAGGTATGCCTGTTTCTTTCCAACCAAAGTTCTCATATGATAGCACCCCTCAAAATATCCCATAACATAATGCTCATCTTGGGTTGCCCTAGAATCTTCCGTTGACTCATTAAGTGACTAACCGAAAATGGGATAGGTCAAGGCACACCTATTTCTGCATTGTTCAATACCATAAGTGAGAGGTAAAAGGGCAATGCAAAAATAGATGATCATCAGTTTCCTCATCTTGTCTGCAGAAAAGACAAACATTAACGATGATCTTCCCTCTTTTCCTAAAGTTGTCAATAGTTAGTATTTTCTTTTGAGACAGAATCTATATAAAACCTTATAACTTATGGGGTATGTGCCATTTCCGAATGCCCTTTAGAGTAGATTGAGTCCACCTTACCCTGTCATAGGAAAATAAATTATATGCTAATTTCACTGAAAATATACTACGTGTTTCTAACTCCCAGATGGTCATTTCCTTTGGACAATCAGATATATGAAACCCATCCAAAGACTTAAGAATGTCAATATATTGATTCACCATTCACCCTAAAATTAAGTGTTCATAGATCTACAAGATCTGTATCATTTTTTTAGTTTCAAATTTTATTATCAGTGTTAGAAATTGATTTAGATCCATCATGGAGAATTTTGTTGCCGAAAGAGCTTTCCAGATGAGGATTCGAGGTGAGGCTTTATTTTGTTTTCATAAAGCCTAGGCCCTATAGAAATTTCATCTTATAGGATGGCTAATTACATGTATTACCATCATTAGTCAATCATAAAAGATAGAAAGACATCAAATCATTAAAATGTTTAAAATGCTAAATGTTTGAAGACTATTTACTTCTTTTTTTTTTTTTTGACAATGTTATGCTATTTTATTAATAGAAATGATTAGAAATAATAAATTACACATGAATCAAAACATCAAGAACTAAAAGATCATCAAGGCTCATACCAAACTTGGCCAAACCATCAGCTACGGAATTGGCCTCGGGATAAACATGTTGAAACAAGACCATCAAAATTTCACAAATATCCATGACCTCCGACAACATCGGCAAATATTTTCCACGGTGGACTACTGCGTTTAGTACACCAGTTGATCACAATTAGAGAGCCACCCTCTACGCAATAGTATAAATTTGGGAATGTATCCCTCAACAACCTCAAGCCATTCAATAAAGAAAAGAATTTTGCATAATTTTCCGTATTGATCCCACAATAACCCATATATGAAAGTAACACCTCACTATTTGAGTCCCTCACAACCCCACCACTACCAGTACAGCCTAGGTTCTCTAAAGAACTTTCATAAAAATTTAGTTTCAAGCAACCCTCTAAAGGAGGGTGCCATCTACCGTTTGGTTGAAAATTTCGAGAAAAAATTGTTACAACATGCTGTAAGTTTACCCAAATATCCATCTTAGGAACTCCAAAGCCTTCTTTTGTAACGGAAAATCAACTCCACAAGTTGTCCAAAACATTTCTTTTGATCTCTTCCAGCCCAAGAGTCACACCCTCAAAGGTCATTCTATTCATTTCTTTCCATATTTCTCATAAAATCGACGCCTTGAATGTCTTCCAAAAAATTCGAATCCCGCTCGAAATACCACCAAGTTCCAGATGAGCAAAAATATTGATTTGTTCATTGGGCAATTCTCTTACACAGTAGAATTGAACCCTCATCTTTATATAAAGATTCTACCACTCTATAAAGAATCAGTTTGCCCAATTAAACCCTTATCTCTCCTTGATGATTTCCAAAACTGATGCTGAAAATAAGCAATTATTTTACGCAGCAGCCTTCGCTCTTAGATTTGTGCCAAAAAGGAACCCCATGGAAGACTTTTTTATCAACATCTCTGTTGGTACGTGTATGTGGCCATGTGGCCTTTAAACATGCAATATTCTCTCTCTTATAATTTAATGCTTATCACTAAAAATGAGAGGTTTCTAAGAGAGAAAAATTACCATTATCTAACGGCTAGAAAGTAACCACCCACTTCCCCAGATTACAGGGCCACGTTTTCTAAGAGATTTTAGGAGGAAGCCGAACGTTGGAGAACGACTTCATTCATCCCTCTTTAAGAAGGGTTCCATGGCCATGAAGATGTACATAGAAATTTACAGAGTTGTCACTGTTCTGGTAAAAGGTTGATCTTTGCGATCGATAGTCTGAAGACACTGGCCCTAATCCTAGAAGTGAGTCCATCTCTTCCCTCAAGTTTTCAACATTGGTATCAGAGCTACATTGTGGAAGCGTGGTGGGCTCATAATCTACAGCAATACGAACATAAACTGTTCGAGAAAATTTTTCTTTGAAGTTGTAGCTTACTGAGAGTCGGTAAACTTATTGATTTAGCTAGCAGAAGACCTTTTCTTAAACACAATTAAATTTGTTTTTGAACTTTTAGGCATTATTTAAAAATTTAAAATGGCATCTAGGCTAGTCATGTCATAATTATCCAAACTTGAAAAACTCAATGGGACCAGTTTTTCTATGTGGAAAGGAAAAATTTGATATAATTTTTTTCAAGATAGGGTAGATCATGTCCTAGAAATAGAACCACCAGTTTTAGAGCCTAATGCCAATGGTCAAGCCAAAAAACGACTTGAAAAATGGTTAGAAAACGACAAAGTAGCTAGGACTAATATGTTGAGCTTTATGGAAGATTATCTACTTAGAGTCTTTGAGGATTATATCACAACTCAAAGTATGATAGGTGCCTTATCTGAAAAGTATGAGAGCACTTCTAAGACCCATGTACAATTGTTGTTAGAAAAATATAATTCTTGCAGAATGAAAGAAACAAATTCAATGGCCGAGCATATCAATAAAATGACAGTGCTCGCAAAGGACCTTGCTGCAGCTGGGAATCCAGACCCCGATCGCATGCAAGTGTCTATTGTCCTTAACAGTCTCCCTCCATCTTGGGAGTCTGTTGTAATTGTATTGAACCTTTCTGTGCAAGGGATAATCATGTTAAATCTTCCTATGCATCTTAATATTGAAGCTGAGAGAAGAATGAGGAAAAAGTCAAATGAGTTCCACTTTTCCCAAAGTTCATCTTCTCAGATCCTCAAAAAACCTTTCAATTATCAGAAAAATAATAGATATAAAGGAAAGAGGAGAAATTTCAAAAATCAAAAGAATAAAGTTGAGAAGACCTGTTTTTATTGTAAAGAAATTGGACACATCAAGTTTAATTGTCCTAAGATAAAAAATAAAAATAGGAACCAAAATAACAACCATGTTTGAAATAACCAAAATAAGATAAAGGACTTGATCTACATAGTCCTAAAATCAATAGTTGCCGATCAGGACTTGAGAAATTGGTGGGTCGACTGAGTCTCTACTCGACATGTCTCGAGCACCAAGGATGGATT